AGCTCACTCTGATAAACTGTGAGTGGTACATTTAGGCCTAGATATGAGAGAATACATCTATGTGGTATGTGTGCACCACATAAAACAGATCCTGCAGCACACTCTGTATAATGAGAGAAAAAAACTGAAATCATGATTTTTCGATTAAAACAGCAACTTTGCAGCGTTTTTTCGTATGTTTTTTATAGTTGTATTTGCGATTTCTTGGTCTCATTTGATAGTATGGAAGACATATTACAGAAATAGATATGATTTTGATTGGTTTTAGCAACGGAAATGGCTTGAAACTGAGCTCAAAGTAGCGAAAATGTTAAATTTTTGCCGATATTCAAGAGTAAACAAACGACCTCACACATCTAATACACATCAGCTGGTGGGTCTAATATACATTCACAAATATGGTGATGATATTTATACAATTATTACAGTATTGCATAACAGTAAATCTTCTATTTTTTGGTGTGAATAAAAATTCATTATGTGAATAAAAAATCAAAATGGAGTTTATTTGTAAAGCCTCAAAACATAACTAATGAAGAGAGGAAATGTTAGTTTAGTGCCAGGAATGCCTACATTGTTTATTCTGGACCCTATTTAGAAATTGGAATATTTTGAACTTTGTGTTAAATTGGCCAAATTAACAATTTCCGATCACTTTATTTTGTAGTTGAAACAGTTGATTTGGCGATTTCTTGTGCTCAATCGATAGAATAGAAGTAATACTAGTGAAATAGCTAAGAATTTGGTTGATTGGAATAATGTAATTGGCCTAAAATGGGAGTCAAAGTCGGCAAAATCGCCGATTCGTAATATCGCTGACACATCAAAATTTGCGAGAGCATAATTTCGTCAATTTTCCACCAAATTTCGTACTTTTTGTTTTATTACCTTCACAAAAACATTCTCTACGATTTCATAAGAAAAAATAACAAATTTTTTTTTTGAAAATTCTTGGACACTGGTGCGTGACTCCAGATTTGGGCCTTGGACCCTGAAAGGGTTAAATAAATCAATAATTTATTTATTTATTTGCAAAGGCTACAATGTGTTGACATATCATAATATGATTGGAGCAAAGAAAGCCAATATCGTGCCGAGGCATTTCGGACATACTTAGCCTAATACTTAAAGACTACAATAGACCGTCATTTAGCGCGAGTTTATTTGGCACGATTCGGGTATAGTACGATTAAAGAATTGCGGCATAATTTTATGTAACATGTCATAAAATTAATTTAACACGGTTCAGTTTGTGGGAAGGAAAAAAAAATTCCCTTTTCTTCAAGCGGCAGCCTTGTTGTGGATTGGCAGGGGAGACCTCCTGCCATCCCAGCATTTGTACTTCATATGTGTCGTCTTTCTTCTCTGCTACAAGCTAGCTGTGTTTGTGAATTGTGTTTTGATCTTTCAACCCTTTCAGGGTCGGCAGGCCCTCTTCTAAACTTGTTCTCAGGGTCGGGAAAAAAAAAAAAATTAGGAAACGATAGAGAATCTTTTCCCCGTTCATAATGACACCAAAAATATAAAATTTGATGGAAAACTTATGGAATTATGCTCTCACGAAGTTAGCGGTCTCGACAATGTTTACGCACCGGCGATTTCGCCCACTTTGAGCCCTATTTTCACCCAATTCCAATGTACCAGTCGACAAAAAATCACACCTATTTCGCTAGAACTCCATTTTGTCAATGGTCCAAGTCGGACCGAAACGTCGTCGTAAGCTTCTCTCTTTTATGTGCGGGTTATTTGTGTATTGTTCCAGTCACGGTATTGTGCCTTTTTGTTATTTATTTATCCATTTTGTCTATCGAATGAGTACAAGAAACCACCCATTTACCAATTTCAAGTATCCAACAACGTGGTCAGAATTTTGCAATTTTGCCAATTTCATACAAATTTCAAAAGATGTCAATTTCCAAAAAGGGTCCAGAATAAACAAGACAGACATTCCTAGCACTAAAATAACATTTCCTCTGTTCATTACTCATGTCCCCAATCCTCTGCTAAATTTCATTTGCTTTCCACTTTGAGTTTTTATTCTCACAAAAAATATGAGATTTATGTTACACAGACTACTGCATTCGTGTAGAAATGATATAAATAACATCACTACACTTGTGAAAGAATATTAGACTCACCAGTTGATGTGTATTGGACGCGTGGCATGATTTGTTTACCTCTGAACTTTGGCAAAAATCGAACATTTCTGCTACTTTGAGCTCAATTTCAAGGTACTTTTCATTGTAAAACCAATCAAAATCATCTCAACTTCTATAATATGTTTTCCATTCTATAAAATGAGACCAAGAAAATAGAATACAACCATAAATAGCATACGAAAATACACTGCAAAGTCGCTGTTTTAACCCTTTCAGGGTCCACAGGCCCTCTCCGAGACTTGTTCTCAGGGTCCCCAAATTTAAAAAAAAAAAAAAAAAATTTCTTATGAAAAGATAGAGAATCTTTTTCCAATCATAATGACACCAAAGTATGAAATTTGATGGGAAACTTACAGAATTATGCTCTCGCGAAGTTAGTGGTCTCGACGATGTTTACGCATCGGCGATTTTACCCACTTTGAGCCCTATTTTCGGTCAATTCCTATGTACTAGTTGACAAAAATCATAACTATTTTGCAAGGAACTCCATTTTTTCTATCGAATGAGTACAAGAAACCACCCATTTACAGATTTCAACTATCCAATACAGTGGTCAGAATTTAGCAATTCTGCCAATTTCACACAAATTTCAAAAGATGCCAATTTCCGAATAGGGTCCAGAATAAACAAGAAAGGAATTCCTGGCACTAAAGCAACAAGTTCTCTGTTCTTTAGTCACATCCCCAGGCCCCTCTTATATTTCTTTGGCTTCCCACTGAATTTTTATTCTTACAAGAAATAGAAGATTTACTGTTATGCAGACAGCATTAGTGTAGAAATGGTATAAATAATATCAGCGCACTTGTGAAAGAATATCAGACTCACCAGCTGACGTGTATTGGACGCTTGGCATGATTTGTTTACTTTTGAACTTTGGTAAAAATCGAACATTTCTGCTACTTTGAGCTCGATTTGAAGGTACTTTTCATTGTAAAACCAGTCAAAATCATCTCAATTTCTGTAATATGTCTTCCATTCTATAAAATGAGACCAAGAAAACTAGAATACAACAATAAATACCATACGAAAATACAGTGCAAAGTCGCTGTTTTAATCCAAAAACAGTTTTTTTTTCTCATTACGCACCGTGTGCTGCAGGATTTTTTTTATACTGCGCACACTGACCACATAGACCCATTCTTTCATATGTAGGCCTACCAGCTTTCTCTCACTCGATTTGAGGGCACTAGAATTTAGGCGTACTAGTACGTCAAAAACCCTGGGGCGTAAGCCGTACTAGTATGGCCGAAACCCTGAAAGGGTTAATTACTATATCTTGTATCTGCCAAGCAGTCATGACACCCAGTAGCTATACCAGTGTTACTGAAAGTGGCATGAAGAGAAATAAGCACTTAAATCTTACAATTAACAAAGAAACAAAGATACGTATTAGACAAGAGAGATAACCTATGGTGTAATGAAGTGTTACTTTGTACACATAAAATGAGGTGAGCATAAGTTTGTGTGACTGACTGACTGACTTACTGACTTGAATGATTAGCTTACTGTCTTGACTGAATAACTTACTTGACTTACTGACTTGACTGAATAACTGATTTACTGGCTGACTTGACTGACTGAATGGCTTGACTGACTGAATGGCTTGACTGACTGAATGACTTGACTGACTTACTGAATGACTTGACTGACTTACTGAATGACTTGACTGACTGACTTGACTGAACAACTTACTGACTTGACTGACTGACTTAAAGTTAGACACTCCAGTACAACCATCGACTTCAGTACCAGAACCTCTACCATCCACCTCAACCCAGTAGGACCACAGCATAACTCTCCACTCTCTTAATCATTCACAAACACCAGCACCCACAATTTAAGGTAAGAAATATTATTATTTCTGTTATATTCAGTCTTAAGCAGTAAAAACAACACCATAATACATCACAACAATGAACTACAATTACATATTCACTTTTATTTGTTAAGAGATGGAGGATTAAAAAAGTTGCTTGGCTTTTTTTGGGGCTCTCAGGAACGTATCCCTATTTTCCCCTAAGTTCTTCAGTTCATCTAACACAGTTTTACTTAGCACGGCATTTTCAGGAACGTAACTACAGTCTTAAATGATGGTCTACTGTACTAAAGTCTAGACAGGTGAAAAGTAGTGGTTACCAATGTTTTGCTGATGGTGGTGCCAACTACTGGCAGCCATTTGAAGTTTCTCCTTACTGTTACCATTATTATTATTATTATTATTATATTGTATTATAATAATAATATTATTATTAGTATGTACGAGGTGAGGGGCTCTTGATCTAGGGAATTGTATCTGTTTTCAGTTCCCTAAATTAAGCCAGAATACCTTCCATCTCCTCCCCCCACAAGTGCTTCCTGATTACAATAATAATAATAAAAATATGTATAATAATGTATGAAAGAGGGGAAGGTACCTAGGGATTGGCAGAGAGCATGTATAGTCCCTTTATATAAAGGGAAGGGGGCCAAAAGAGACTGTAAAAATTATAGAGGAATAAGTTTACTGAGTATACCAGGAAAAGTGTACGGTAGGGTTATAATTGAAAGAATTAGAGGTAAGACAGAATGTAGGATTGCGGACGAGCAAGGAGGTTTCAGAGTGGGTAGGGGATGTGTAGATCAAGTGTTTACATTGAGGCATATAATGAGTGAATATATTTATTATAGGAAGTCTAAATAACTGAAACATGGCTACATTAGTGAAATGCTGTATAACAGTTATGAGGTGAATTTTTTTATACAGAACTATAATGTACAATAAAAAACAGGAAAAAAAAATGTGGTAATGTAGAAAAGAATTTTACGATGAAAGTATTTGATTAAGAGCAAATCATAATGTACCTTACTTAGAAGCTTCTTTGTCCATTCCCTAACCTCTTGCTCCAAGTGCTTAAAATGTCCATCTTTGATATTGTCAACCATTTGTTGAAGTTCTTCAATTTTATCCTTTTCTCCTTTCCTTCCACCATCTGTTTCCTGTAAATATAAAGCATTTTAATTAAAAAGTATGTACACCTACCATCCGACTTACGACCTGCTCAACATATGACCACTCAACTTACGACCGTGTTTTTTATGCCAAATTTCTGGAAAATAAACAACTATTTGTGTTGTACACAGTGTTTATACTAAACCTTACAGTAATAAAATACAGTACTAACAACATAAAAAGTAAAGTAAAACATGAAATACCAAAATTAAACAATAAAATAGTCATTACAAAAATGTGATGTTGATATTCAGTAGCAAAGTTCGACTTGCGTCCATTTCGACTTACGACTGGTTTCTCGGAACCAAACTCGGTCGTAAGTCAGATGGTACCTGTAATTTTCTCATCCTTTAATCAGGGCTGGATTTAGACCTTGGGGGGCCCGGGACACTTTAGGTTTGAGGGGCCCTCAACATGGAAATTAAACTGAATTACAAATAAGAAATGAACTAAATAGCATGATAAACAGAAGTTTTCAAAAAAAGTATATTAGGTTTCGAAAATGATGTCTGATTTTATTCTTCTCAATTTTACTGACTTTAACAATAACTTTGACTATAATTTTCAGTTTGTAATACATTCCATTTACACTATATAATAATTACTGATGAGCATTTATTTATATCTTTGGTGTCACGCTTTCGGTATCTACATACAGTGGAACCTCAGGTTATGAATTTAATTCGTTCCGTGGACTTGTTTGTATGCTGGGTCAATTTTCCTCATTTAAATTAATTGAAATGCAATTAATTCATTCCAGCTGAATTCCTGCTCTCAGGAGGCATGATAAAATAACCCTAATATCAACTCTGTCTTATTTATCTGTCACAATTCATCTAATATGACATAATAAACAATATAAATAACACAGAAACCTGATATACACTCTAGAATGAATAGAATATGTCATTACACGGACGGCAGAGGGAGGAGGATTGTGGTCGGGAGTGGTCACGCATTCTCGCTATGAAAACGTCAGAGGTGTTATAAGAGAAAACGGAGTTTGTGAGGCTAACTGAATTAGATATGGTGTACATACGATATTTACATATCTTGGAGAAGAAATGCAGAGCGGCATATCCTGTTAGGAGTTCACACTTTTCTTAAGAACTGCTATGTACAATTTTTATGTTTATCTCACTACACTACATATCTCCTGTAAGCTGTTTCTCTGCCAACCATGTCAACAGCAGCTTTACCATCTTTTACTTAACAGAGGTCCACTGCTTATAAATTACGGTAATGCCCTTTGCTGGCACTATAGCCTTTATAGACTCCTGCTTTAGTATTGTACATACAGTAGATTATTATTATTATTATTATTATTATTATTATTATCATTATTATAATCATGGGGAAGCACTAAACCCAAAGGTACATATAGTAGAGGCAATACCCTTGTACTCAACTTGTCAAGTCCTCAACCCTCGTACCTAGTCTGTGCTTATTAATCATTTCTTTCTTTAATTCCATGAAAATCATCCTCTTTTTCTTCTCGGCACTGTCCTTTGCACTTGCTTCCTTAGGACCCATGGTTAGAAAAAAGAAATCTGGTAAATTAACTGCACAAAACAAAGAAATCATGAAAATTCCTTATGGAGGATAGTTCCGTAAGCACATGTGCACTAATGACCATTGTGGTGGTGTTGTCAAACTAAATTATACGCAGTACGTTCATAGTACAGTGGAACCTCAAATTTCGAGCTTAATCCATTCCAGGAGCTAGTTCTAAATTCAAAAAGTTTGAAAGGCGAAGCAATATTTCCCATAAAAAATAATGGAAATACAATTAATCCATCCAGAAACCCAAAAATATTCACAAAAAAATACATTTTACAGATAGTATTACATTATAGTTTTACATACACACAACAAATACAGTGTACAATTATTAATAAATTTAAATAAAAGGCAGCACACTCCACCAATATTCAATACACTCAACCTACTCACCATACAAAACATCCATACTTATTACTGCACCTATTACATACATAGAACACTCAACTCTGATATTAACCCTCCCCTCAAACATCTCCTTGCCAACCTCAACAGGACACATGACCATAACACAAGGCACAGATCACTCTTTGATATTCCTCGTGTCCATCTCACGCTATGCAAAAACTCAATGCACATAAAAGGCCCTAAAATCTGGAATTCATTACCTGTAAATATAAAAGAAACACTACCTGTTTATAAATTCAAGTCTCTTCTCAAGATCACTTACTCACCCAAAACCAAATAAATACTGAATAACTGAACTTATAAATTGGTATATCTTAAATGTTTCTCACAATTATATCACATAAATGTTAAACCTAAAACCCAATCTAACTTTAATATTTTTTAAATACACTACCTAACAGAATACTCCATACGACTGAATGTACAACAATGCATGCAACCATATGACCTGTCTTTGTAATACTCACTTGAGCTTTATAGTAATCAGTTTACATTAATGTTTTTCACTGATTTCATCATTGCTTAGTTAATCTTAAGTTAATTTTAAGCCAGCCCGTAATGCTATGCATAGTATAAGTGGCTTTGGCATGCTGCTCTTCTGTATTTTTTTGTACCACTGTAAGTGTGCTCAAATTATAAATAAATAAATAAATAAATAAATAAATTTTTACTTACCTTTATTGAAGATTGGTGATAGCATCTGGAAGATAGGGAGGAGGAGAGAGGGAGTTGGGGTTAGTGTTTGGCAGGGAAATCCCCTCCATAAAGACTTCAGGTATCAAAGCTCTCTCTGGGGTTACTTCCCTTCTCTGTCTTTAAATGCCACTAGGACCAGCTTGAGTCACTGGACCCCTGTCTCACAAAATAACTGTCCACAATTCTCTGTTTCTGGCACCTCTTTAAGATTTCCCTAAAATGGGACATGGTTCTGTCACTGAACTTGTTGCAAAGATGGCTTGTTTCAACTTGCTCAGGGTGGTACTTCTCCACAAACATTTGGACATCATTCCACTTCTGTATTATTTCCTTCTTCACATCTATGGTGGTTCTCACTTTCTTTACCACAGGGGTATCGCTTGCAAGTTTCTTTGGGCCCATGGTAGCTTATTTCACAGTCCCACAAGCACTAAACACAATGAATTAATTGTGAAATGTTTGAATGAGACTGCAGGTTAGAGTTCATTCAAGCATCAACAAAGCCAGACTGGCTCACGGCACCTGCACAGGGAAACGGACAGAGCAGGCTGGTGGACAGGTCCGGTACCCAGCAGTTCGAAAACAGGGGCGAGTTCGATAATAGGGACAATGTTGGTTCGAAAAAAATGGTCGATTTTCAAAGTTCTATAAGTGATATGTTCGAAATTTGAGATTCCACTGTGTTATTATATTATTGTACTATTATGTATCATTATATTGTATTATTATTATATAATATTTTATTATATATGTAATTATGTATTATCATTATTACGTATTAGTACATAAGTATTATAATAATAATTAATTATTATTATTATTATTATTAATTTAGAGAACTGGAGCACAGATCCAATTCCCTAGATCAAGAGCTCTTCACCATATACGTACTTACTACTACTAATAATAATAATAATGGTAATCATTATTATAACAATAATAATAATACAATATAATAGTATTAATATATAGGTAGTAGGTTAGTAGACAGCAACCACCCAGGGAGGTACTACCGTCCTGCCAAGCGAGTGCAAAATGGAAACCTGTAATTGTTTTACAGGATTTATTTATTTATTTAATGTCTTTGCAAACAGTACACTGAGATTGTGTATATACAATAGTGGGTTGCAATGCAAAGAGAGCCTCTATCATGCCTAGGCATTATGGGCCAACTTAACAATAATGGCTTACATTCTACTTAATACTAAGTAGTAGTATATCATAGTTGGACAGTAGGAAAGTAATGGATGGTAGGATTGCTGGTGTCTTTTTTCTGTCTCATAAACATGCAAGATTTCAGGTACGTCTTGCTACTTCTACAGTGGAACCTCTACTTGCGAGCGTGTCCACGTGCGAGTTTTTCCAAATACGAGCAGTCGATGGGTCAATATTTTGCTTCCGTACGCGAGCAAAATTTCCACAAGTGAGCAGACCTCAAGGCAGGTTCCTTGACACTGGTGAAGGGCTCTTGCTCTTGATCTCGGGAACTGTATCTCATTTGTTTGTTGGACTACCTTACTGAAACTTGGGCAATGTATGATGGAAAGATGCTTCTTAACATACACCAAAAATGAAAGAAATCTAAGAATAAATAATGGAATTCACTTCTCAGCAATTAGCCACCCCTTAGTGGTAATTTCAAATAGTTTTTTTATCTCAATTGAAAGAATGGAAGATACATTACAGAAATAGATATAATTTTGATTGCTTTCACGATGAAAAGCACCTTGAAATAGAGCTCAACCTAGGAGAAATGGTCCATTGCTTGGCTGTTTCCGAGTAAACAAATGATGTCACTGTCCATTCCAATATGCAGTCGTGAATGGGTTGACATTATTTATACATTCATTGCAATAAGGAATAACAGTAAATCTTATATTTTTTGTGTGAATAAAAATTACAAATTATTTATACATGTATAATAATAAAGGTCCTCCATCACAAATCTGGCATCATTGGGACCTGTAGTGTGCCGGATTACTGAGTTTGCCGAATAACATAGTGGTTAGGTTAGAATATACTTAATAAAATTAACCAACTTGACTTACACAGTTCATTGAACATCGGCAAAAATCGAACATTTCCGCTACTTTGAGCTCAATTTCAAGGTACTTTTCGTCATGAAAACAATCAAAATCATGTCTATTTCTGTAATATATCTTCCATTCTATCAAATGAGTCCAAAAAATGAGAATACAACCATAAAAACAATATAAAAATATACTGCAAAGAGGCGGCTAATGGCTGAGAAGTGAACTCCCTTATTTATCGTCTGTCTTTTTCATTTTTGTTGTACGTTAAGAAGCATCTTTCCATCATACAT